TAAATGAAAACAAGAAAGGGAGAAACTAGAACTACACTGCTCAAACTAAACCAGCAGTGCTTAGTCCATTAGGTTAAAAGGAAAATCTCACCAGTGCCTGCTATTACTGAAGCTGAATCTTCCTAAAAAGAGCCACCTCTTGCTGAGGCCATTCTTTGAAAATCATGAGGATCTGTAATACACACGACTCACGCCTCAGCCCTTCCTAATGTCAGTTATCACAAGCTGTCCCATACCCAGTAATATTTAATAAAGAGCCCTTATTTGATTTCATTAAGTCAGAAATTTTAAAATCACAGAAATCATCATCTCAGTGAAGGACAAATGCCTTCATTTGGGAAGAATGTTGACTGTGCCTAACACAGCACGTACAGATGCATTAAACCAGGAATTTCTAGCCAGGTAATTTCAAAAGCTACAATTTAGGGAATAATTGCAAAAGAGTAATAATGAACATGTAAATTAATATATATAGTCACCCCCATACTCCATATAAAAAAATGCTACATTTTATCTAGTTTTTGTAAATTTAGTAGTCCTGCAGATGTGATGTGGCAAACATATTCCATAAGATGCAATAAGTACATACAGTAAGAACCAGGACTAAACACACAATTTTTTGCAGATGCACAGTGGGTAACATTTCTGATGACAGGAGAGCAGTTAAACTAATCACAGTCTTAATTACAGCAATACGAAAAATAATCAAAATAGCTGCAATACATTAATTACGTCTGCCCGTACATTTAGTGCACTTACAGAACTATAGATATAGCCAGTTGGGTACAGGAGATTTCAAAACAGGGAAAGGGGATGTATTTCCACCACCAAAAAAAAGACACACCGCAGGCATTGACAAGGGACTTGCCAATCTTCGGGGGGCAGAAGTAGATCCTGGCATTTAAAACACTGACTTTTCAAGCTATTAGCATCTCTCTAATTTGCTTCTTTCTGGATGGATTTTGGAAGGTTTTGAGGTTTGGGGATGGATGTTGTTCCAGTCTTGTTTTTTGCTATTCCGAGACAGGTAGTACAGCTCTGAATGGAATTAATCTCAGTTTATTATTCTAAAGCCAAGCATCTAACCTGAGCTAAATCACAGCTTCCACAGTCTCCAGAGGGGCTCTCCAGAACATGATTCATTCTACTTTCCTTAAATATCTATCTTAGGAAGAGATTAATAACTCTCTAGAGCTCTCCTCCCTTAAACTAGATGTCTAACTTTCAGAAAGCTAACAGTCAGTGAGATGAATTCTACTCACTGCATACCATGACTACTGGACATCTTGTACCTGGAAAAGTCGGCATGAGAGCTCCAAGGAAAGAATCAGGCAGTAAATACAAGGCTCTTCCTTTTTTTTTTTTTTTTTTCCCCTCCTGAAATTTGGACCTCCAAGTACATGGGGATTATAAAGTCCAAACTCCTATGCAAAACTGTTCTTCCATGTAATTCTTGCTCACTAATGTACATAACCATGTGCATAATTTAAAACAACAGAAGCCCCATCCATTTCCATACATCTACCTAGCCAGACAGCTCAGAATTATAAATACAATTACACTACTGAATTAAAGCCTCTAAGAGTCGGGAAGACACTTTAAATGGTAAAATTATCATATTAATTTTTAAAATGACCAAAACAATGACACATCTACCTACAAGCCATCCCACACCAATTTAATACAGATATTACTGAAGCCCCTTTAGTTTAAGAACCGGAGCACTTCAGAGGAAGCTGGGTTTTTTTGGACATGTTAGCAATGTTTTTTTTTTAACATCTGTTGCCAAAGCACATCTTTTACAATGCTTCAGAAAGACAGACAAGATCAAAGGACAAGATAAAAAAAATGGAATATCCTTAAAAGCAGAATTTAGATAACATGACTAAGGGATGGTCTAGTGCTGGAGATGACAATCCAATCCTAGAATAATTAAATTCCTCCAGCTGAGGAATTGCCATAATTCACTTTGGATTAAATTAAACTAGAATAAATTTCCCACTACATGGCATTCATGCTCTACCATACCCTGTAATACCTTTCACGTGCAGACAAACTAAAAGGCACTTTGTCAAAGCAACACAGGAAATCCAGCACACATCCTGCCCAGGCTTTTCCTGCTGCATGGGTGGAGAAGAACTCAGTCTCCAGGTACAGTAAAACAACACTTGAGAACAGACCTGCTATGAAACATCTTTCGCTATTACATTCACTCCACAAAAGTAATTCCTACATGAAAAACTTTGAGATTGAGACAAGTGTATATAAGTATGTTCACAGATACAAAAAATTTTCATATATACACAAACATATGTGTGTATATTATAAAATTTATACATATATATGTATAAATAGATATACACACATACGTATAAAATAGAAGAACTAAAAAGACAGTGATCTATTCTTGCTTCTTTGTGATGTATAAGGAAGGTCTAAAAGCATGTTGTTTTCTTTATCCTGGAAATACTAGAAATGTCAAGTCTGGTCTATCCTCTCTTTGCTGGAAGACTTCTTGGACATATAAAGCCACATCTAAAAGAGCTTCTTACCTGCTGATTGAAGGTTAAAGTCTACAACTATAGATGGAAGTTTTTCCCAATTATTTCTCAGCTATTTGAATTAATTGTGTGTTAGCAATAGCTAAGTTTTACGTAGTCTAAATAAAAAGTAGACTTCAATTTATCTTTCAAGTGACAATAGAGAATTTCTGACAAAAACAATTTCAAACAGAAGGCACAACATAAGGAAAAAAAATTCTTCAGTATGAACAAAATGTCAGTTTAAACCTCCTTTATACTACCTAAAAAGCAATAGAGGATGAAATCCTTTACACATACATGATTACAAAAACACTTATTTGATTCACTGATGCTGTAAAAGTGAAACTGTATTATTTACCAAGTTTACCAGTTTGAAGGCACAATGGCTACCACTTCATCCACATCCCATTCTATTTACAGGAAAAAGCAAACAAGAAGGATCTCTAAGAAAAAAAAGGAGATAAACACAGATGTACCCTGAGAAGTGAAATTTCACAACAAAAACATTTGTTTTGAAATACTGTTCTTTGTAAACTCTCATTATCTGAACCTGTGTTCTCCTATAACTAGAACAATAATGTTTAATACTCAGTTACAATGAAAAATATTACTTGTAGATAAAAAAAAGATAAAAGTTAAATTCCCAGAAAAAAATAAATCAACCCAAACCTGACTGAAAGAAATGAGGTCTCACATAGGATCACACCAAAGCTGACATCTGTCAGTTTGGGGAAAATAAGGTAAATCAATCTAAAGATCTCTGTCAATGTCCAGTTTTCTGGAGAAAAAAAAACAAAACAAAAAACAATGGAATGGCATCATCTAGTTGGAAATCCCATAGCGCCATCTGTGTGGAGGAAAAATCAAAAAGCCAACTGTGCATGCCCTTCTTTGGATCTGGAATTCCCAAAAGATTCTGTAAAATTTTGTAAAAATCTGAAGAAAAAGGTCTTTCTATAAAATCAGATAAATGTTCTGTAGCCATCTCATGACATGGTTTATAAAGTGTTGGCACCAGCACAAAGAGTTCAAAGCGTTCATTCAGGAGTCACAGAGATCACCAAATCGAATGATTCACAGCAGTCTTCTAGCAGCGGCCAGTTATTTACTGCATAAACTGAAGTGTTCTTTGCCAGTGATCTTCAGTGCAATGATGTACTTCTGCCAGACAAAGTCTTTTTCTTCTTATTCCAGTAGGTAATAAGTGCCATCAATACAAGATAGTGGAAGCAATATGAAATGACAGGCTGTATTTCATGGTGCATATTCATCAACCAATGCCTAAAAAGGTAAAATTCTAAACTCAAGCTATAAACTCATAGCAACATACTCTAGAACTGATATTCAAGTGGAAAAAAAAAAAAAAGAAAAAGAAAAATTTAATCTAAGAAAGTGCAAAAGGAAGAAACCTCTAGAATTTGTCCATCAACACAGTTTTCCTCCTCCAGAGGTTAAACAGTGCTAAAGAGAGAGAGTGCAATAGTACTTTGAGCGATCACCTCTTGGAAAAACAAAACCAAAACCAAACCACGCCCCCAAAAAAACCAAACGCAAACCAAATCCAATACTAAGGTTAGGTGATTATTAAGTCACCAGTGATTACATTGACCTTGTTTCAAACCTACTGTTTTTACTCTTTTATTGAAAAAAATAAGTTTGTTTTTACACCTGACAGTAGATTAGATGCCAGTGTAAGGGACAGTTGCTAATGCATTACTCTAAATTCTATTTTTTCATGGTACTCTGCACGATAACCAGGTGTATCACAAATCAAGTCTTGACCATGACAGAAATTCAGTAAGAGAACTGCTCTGGAGTTCTCTACACACTACCAGTTATGACACCAAGTACCCAGCTCAAGCTTTAAACCCAATACCAAGAAGTACCTAGCAATTTTCTCTTTCATTTCTGTTCTAAGTTCAGGTGGAAGGTTCTTGCATTTATCTGTTGTATCATTTAGGCTGGACTATAAATCTACTATATCTGTTTCAGGTGGAGGAAGAGAGAAAAATGTATCAGATACAATTCATTGCCAAAAAAATGAAGACAAAGTGTCTTTTCAATCCATTCTTATACAAGCTTAAAAAGGTTTTCAAACAATTAATTACAGGCCTGATCATAACATCTTATGCTGCAGGCCACACTAGAATGCTACAGTATCTGTGTATGTATATACAAATACATCTGTATACATTTATATATACACACAATAACATATTTACATAAAAAGGAAGCACCCATCCTTTCCTTACTGCTAAATATTGAACTTCTGCTTTCACCTGGATACTAACATAGTTTACCGTGTGTAACACCCTATAAAGGGACAGTTAAGATGATGTTATTAATTTTCTTCTCATTAAAGCCACACATATGGCTGCTATTTAAAAACATGCAATGCCACCAATTAATACAGAAGTAAATCAATTCTTAGGTACAATATCAACTCTTTAAGAAATGCATAATATATTTAAATGTATTTCACCCATTTGTGTAGATAATTAATACTTTCCACTATTTCATAAGGGATTTATATTCTTAAAAAAGTCAGCACAAATTCACAGGAAAACAACTCTGTCAAATGAATTCCCCAGCAGCATATGCAGTGAGTCACTGGGTGAAACTCTTTTTTATGAACACATTAGGAAAGTTGGCATTCAGTTCTAGGACAACTCTATTATCAATCTGTGAACAGAAGGACACATCGAGTAAAGAAAGATCTTTACAAGATTCCAGCAATTTTCTTAAAGATGCAGGGCTTACCATCCTCGTCCCTGTTCAAAAACAAAAAAAGAAACAAAACAAATTGTAAAGTTACTGAGAACAGTCTTTTTTAAAAAAAAAAAGCTGCTAATACTGTGTCATAAAACAAAAGCTACTATAACACGATTTTTATTTAGATTATTTCAAATTAGATTTCAAATTAAAAGCTTCTCAAAAGACAGTGCAGAATTTTTACCTTTAAAAAGCCTACTACATTTTCTTAACTCAACTGCTTAAGTTAACTCCATCATTTTCTACTGGGCGGGGGGGCAACTTTACAAATTTAAGGGGAATTTAACTACAGAAGCCAAGTACTCAAAGCCACAAGACCTCCCAGTGAGCAGATGGTTGCTTTGGCAGCAGCAACACAGTACGCTACACTCTATGCTCCCGTGACCCTCTTGCTGACTGCGCTGGCCAGCACAGCACACGAGCTATTGTGGACTACTCCAATTCCAAACACACCAGCAAGGCTTCCAGGACTCTGGAGTGAGTGCGGGTGTTATGCACACGCAGAGGCAATTGTTCCAGAGACTAATCACACCTACATATACGGTAGCTGTCATAGAAAACAGACTATAGAGGGTAGGTTTAGATTAGATATTAGGAAGAAGTTCTTCACTGTGAGGGTGGTCAGACACTGGCACAGGTTGCCCAAGGAAGTTGTGGATGCCCCGTCCCTGGAAGTGTTTAAGGCCAGGCTGGATGAGGCTTTGAGCAACCTGGTCTAGTGGAAGGTGTCCCTGCTGATGGCAGGGGGGTTGGAACTAGATGATCTTTAAGGTCTCTTCCAATCCAAACCATTCCGTGATTCTATTTACCCCTGCTAAAAGCACGACTGCAGTGACTGAACACCAAAGAGTCACACAGGGTCAGATCAAGTGTGGGATTCAGTCAGAAATCAAATAAATGAGTTTTGATAAGCATGCATCCACACACCAATTAGAGTTGATGGAAATCCAGCCAGTACAGTCTCAGCATGTCACTGAGCTGACTGGGCACCGAGGTATGATTCAGGGGCCCAGAGCGCCTTGTGCCCCTTGGGCTTCCTTACATCAGGTAGGACATCCACACAGAGCTGGCAGACAGGACACAGACCCACGGGAGGATATCCATACCTTACTAGAATGGCTGGAAGCCAGGCAGGTTACTCTGGGCAAGTGAACTCTGGCATCTACAGTGGGCTAAACTGCTCATCAAGCTCTCCTGGCTCTAAAAAGAGTTTATACATCCAACGTGACTGCACACACCTGCTGGTAGATACTTCAACTTACACAGCTCCATTTTAAGCTGAACTGCACCACAAAAAGCTATCTAGTCCAGGATCTTGTCTATGGCCAGGGCCAGTAATGCTTTAAAAAATAAAAAAGCACAAATTTTTAAAGTACCTTTTCACTCATGGATCTTCAACTGCCAAAAATTAACAGTTTGGGGACTTTTGAAGCTACTTTTCATGAATGCTACTATTTTTCTCAACTTCTTTATACTTATGACCCTTTCACATGAGTTCTACAGTTTAATTACCAAATGTAAAAAAAAAATTAAAAAAGCCAGCCTTAAACCCACTGCCTATTAATCGTGATAATTAAGGGGCAAGGAATCATAGAGAAGCAGTAGGAGGCAATCTCCAGTTCACTTTTTCCACATCATTCATAATCCTATAGACATCTCTCTCTTCTGTTCCCTCAAGGCTGTCTGTTTTCCAGACTCTTGTATCTCAGATGATCCCTGTTGTCTAGTTGCTGCACTAATTTAGTACTTCTGAAATTGGATGACCAGAACTATACAGTGCACTGAGCACAAAGTCAGCAACTGTATAATGAGGTATTATGGTGTTTTCTCCATTTCTTTCCTAAGAAATCCTAACCTTCTGTTTGTCTGTTAGAATGATGCTAAGCAATGAGTTGACAGTTTCCAAAAATTGTCCACTTTCCTACAGAACAGTAACTAATATAAAGCCACTCGCTATATGCTTAGTTAATGTTATTTTGTTTCATGGGACTACTTTGCACCTGATGAACAGTTTTCCTCCTGCTTTATCACCTGGTTTACTAAGTATCGTAAGATCATTCTGCAATTTTTCACCATTAAGTTCTTCAGCTTAAGATTTTTCTACCCTGAATATCTGGGCATAACCCTCTGGTACAGCATTATTCACCCCTTTACCTGGATTACTTAGAAATAGATCAGAACAGACCCTTGGTGACCACAGTAGTGACTTCACTGCAAAGAGATGATACGTTCTTATCCTCTGTTGTCTATCTTTGAAACACTCATTACAATCCAGGAGAACACAGCTAAGTTACAAAAGCAAAACAATCCTGGCTAAAGCTTTTGAAAATCCAGTCCTCTGTGGACTGGGTTAGGGCTCACCTCCTCCAAGAACTCAAAAAAATTCTGGAAGAATGAAGAGGCAAAACTATCCTCATGGGGATGCAGCTTTCCTTCAAAATATTGCAATGGCCTTCATGTCCACTGACTGACTTCCTTATGGTTGCAACTGGTTTACACAGAGTAAAAGACAAAGATTGTCTTGCAGCTTCTAACCTGCACCCTTTACAGAAGGTTTTGCTGTGTTTGTAACCCCTTCATTGCTCTGGCGCTGAGGCTGATTTAAGTGACAGATCACACACCAGAAGTAAGATTTCCACAGCCCTGTATTTGAGCTCATTTAGAACTGCTGCATAGATACCAGTTAGTCCTAACAATTTATTATTGTTCAATGTATTGACTTGTTCAAAAGCTTTCTGTATTGGCATTCCAATTTAAGGCAGCTTTCTGGGCTAATCTCCTGGAAAGAATGGCTCTGATGTAGCAGCCTATTTGATCCCCCTTGCCATGAATGCTAATAGACAGACAACAGTTCTCCTGCAATGGCTTTCTTGTATCCGAGTGATCCTTTACACCTGGAGTATCTACCAACCTCAGTGACGCCCCTGTAATCTTCTTCAAACATATCTGAAATACAATTCTAGTATTTCTCTTTAGCCAGTGGTTCCTTAATATCTCATTCTGCCTTACTATGATTTTGTTTCACTTCCTAGAGTTCATCTTCCTATTTTTGTTTTCTGAATAAGATTCATTTGCAGAAGGATGCTTCTCTTGTTAGTAGTCTCCTGTACTCTTCTTTGTAGGCTCTTGGGTTAGTTGCTTTGAGGCATCATTTAATATCACCCAAAAAGAGTCTTTGCTATCATGCCCCCAAATTTTACCTCATCTACGCAAAGGTCAAAGGTAATCAAAGCTTGTCATTATTACTGTGATTTTTAATTCCCTTATCATTATATAATCACTGTCACCACAGCTGTCTGGTGGTTGCTGTAACGGTCCTTATAGACATATGCAGAAATTCTGTAATATGCTTTAGTTAGCTGCTTCACTTAACCATAATTTTACCACAGCACCACTGTCCTACCAGCAGGATCTTCTCTACTATTCCCACTGAAACTCCAGGAACATCCCATTATGCTACTCACCTTTTTTCCACCAAGCCTTAAAATTGCTACTGCATCAGCACCTTCATTTAAAACCAGTCTCATTTACACATCGGTTTTTACGCTTCAAGATCCAAATGTGTGGTTTTACAAAAATGCTAGATCTAGATGCCTAGCCATAGATTTTTTTTTTGTGTAGGATGTTCTTCATTCCTTCCTACCTGAACTTCAACAGTTCTCCTACCATTTCATCTAAGACTAAGATTTTTTAATGGATTTGTAACTAAATAGGCCATCCCAAATTACACGCTTTACTGCACCTGTTTCTTTTTTCATCCTCAGACTTAAAATTTTATGTTAGAAAATATCTTTTTCTAAAAGCTAAAAAAAACCAGTAATCTAGTTGGGGTTTGGTTATTCACACCAGTGGACAAGCAAACATCATCTGCAGCCTTACTTTCATTTATACAATGTACAATTAGTGATATACATTTCTTAAAAGCACATTCAACAGCATTTCAGAAGTGTAATACAGTACACTTTCTTTTGCCTTTGAAAGACTGACAGTGTATCCTGCTAGTTACCTATATAGTGCATTTTTATAGAGTTTGGAGGATTTTTTACTTACTATAACTTTTCCTAGGTGGACTAATTGGCCATTTCTCAGAATACATAACCAGTATATTAAAATCTGCTATTTGATTTTGTTGTTCAGTTTATTCCCTGGAAAAATTCTCTGGTATCACCTTTGTAAAAGGCATTTATGAGTAACGATTTATTTACTAAAACAACTAATTTTTATTAGCTGTAAATTATTTCATTTATATCTATCATATATTCAAGTCTTCAAATTCTAGAGTTGTTCAGGAGACCTGTGTATAATGTTCTATAAAAATTGTAAGAGCCCCAGTTTCTAGGGCAAGGGATACTACTACACACCAAATAATATTTAAGAGTAAAGACCCTGAAAATAACCACCACTATTTCCTCAAACTTTCTTACTTTTCCTTTCCTCCCCTAGACCAGCCAGACTAGCCTTTTCTTCTTTACATTTTATTCAATCTATTGCTCACAACTCAAATTCTAAATTTTAACATGCTACACATTTTCATGTTTGAATTGACTAACTATATGTTGATGCTCTCAAGATAAAGCTGAAAATTTTGACAGCTGGCAAGGGGGCAGTTGAGTTTTCTGTTGCTCAGGAAGGTGTGGGAGGTGTTGGTATGTAGATAGGAATGCATGAATTTTGTGGTAACAAGGGTGTCTACTTTTCATTACTCTTTTTGTGCAGGGCAGAAGCAGTCGGGACTTTTGGGGAATGAGGTTAAGACGACATTCTTCATCCTTGACAGCAGCTGGTAGCCCCACAGCAACATAACTAAGCAGCTGATATGATGTACAAGAAAAGCTTTCAGCACTGCCAATTCAGGTTGTCAACTGACTCGTCACATTGTTCAATGCTGATCACAGTTTCAAGACTCGTTTTTTACTACAGCTCTAGAGGTGTCCACTTAACTTTTGATAGCGCCGGATGATGTACTCGATCACTACAAAACCGTCAGCTGACCACAACCAGATCATTCTAGTGCAAGGTGGAAACCCACCATGGCAGACAGTGGAAAGGATGTGGGCAGAAAAGGAAGTGATACTTGTAAGGAGACAGCTCGGTATGTAATAGGTAAAAGAAAGCTCAGAACTAAAACTTCAAGAAGTACACCCTCATGTACTCAGTGACACACTTACATCATCCTTCCTCTTCTAAACTGTATTATAATACAGCAGATATAGATTCAACTCATGATTTTTTTTTTTTTTTTGAAAAAACAGAAATTTACTTTCTGAAGTATGTTTTACACACCACAAACACAGCCACCCATCAAACAACGCTTTACATGGGCCAATAATTTTATGGAGCCCTTGAAAACTGACAATTTTCATCTCCTACGGAGTCCTTTGATTCTGTAACAAGGGAACTGCCAAACAATAATGGAGAGACTAAGCAAAGGACAGATGCGTAGCAAGCCGCAGGACCTACCACCTGAAAACAGCATCCAGGTTATATATAACATCCATTTCGTAACACTTAAATGAATGACACACGGTTCAACAAGATTTCTTTCAGAGGCTTCTCCAGACCTGAAGCTATTGTGGTGATAAATAATCTATAACTGAAACAAGAAGTGTTCCCTGACAAGTTCATAAATTCTAACAGCTGCAGAGAGAAACCATCATTGTCAGCGCTGGTGACTGCAGTGCAAGGTAAGACATTGTGATCCCTACTTAAGTAAGTGCTTGTATATAGCAAAAAACCTCAAGCTTTTACACAGCTTTGTTGAAGCAAAAGAAGTTCCCTCACAGCATGCACTGCTAACCTAGCAGCAACACTTTTACATCCTTCACAATGCGTGTACGAGCCAGACATTTCTGTACTTGGGAGATGACAAAGGATAAAATGAGAGTCTCTCTCATCCATTCACATCACAGACAAGACCCACTGTTCAAGGTTACTCTTGCAAAGCTAAGCACTGACCTCAGGCCTCTAACAGCTTCAGACCTGTTGTCACACTTCTTCAACAGGACAAAAACACATTAAGCATTTATGCAGCTTACAGTAACAGGATGCCCCTACATCAGCCGCCAAAAGTTAGAGCACATACAGAGATTTATGACTTTCTTGGTATTCTTGCACTATGAGAGACTAGCTCTTTAGTTCAGACAAGAGAGACTTCTGCACTTACATGGGAACACTTGGCAACTCTACCTCCAGATGACCTGGTGTGGTTCTACTTGACAACTCTTTCTTTTAACCACAGATTGTAACGGTTCCCAGACTCAGAGAAAGAAATGAACTCAATTTCTTCACTGTTGCCAAAAAAGATGGGTAACTCCTTCAGATAACGATATGTATCACCTCGCACTGACTTCTTTACAGCAGAAAACAACCTTCCCCCCCCCCCACCAAATATGACTCTGAAGGAAGAAAGCAAGGTCTGGAAGGTGGATATTAAGGTTTTTGGTGACATCTTGCATATAGTTCAACTGTACATCCTCTGTACAGCACCTATCTGAATGCAACGTGCAGTCTCACTGGGAAAGGTTGACTTCAAATTCATTTGACTCAGGAGTACTGGTAAGCACCCAGGGAACAGAACAAATCCCTTTTCCTTATTTTTCCACAAATCATCAATAAGATGTCAAACTGAATTAAAATGTGAATTCAAATGCTAAAGAAGTGTGGCAAGAAACCTTCACTGCAAGCAGAGAGGCAACAGAAGTAGCAGACTATCCGTAGGCTTAACACAGCCCAACTACTCATTGGCAGGCTCTGGTGTAGTGAAACGGTCAGAACACTTTGTGGGCAGACACAATACCATTGCAATAGAAATGCATGGAAGTGGGAGGTCAGGAGCACGTAAGTGTTTATGAAAGACTTCATTCACTGTGCCATCTGGAAATTTTTCATGTCTGAATAGGGAAATTTGCCCTTGATAATCTAGCTACAAAATAGATTTCCTTAAGGATATGCAAAACATTACCTCCTGTGGACACACACATCAAGTCTCTACAATTTGTACTAGGTGGAGATCAGTTTTTATCCGTTCATCCTCCTTTCCCATGTTGGTCAGAAAGTAACTTTCACAGTCACAGATAAGCAAAACCATATTTCATGGTAGAAGAGTGTACTGGCTGTACTGAAGTGACAATCTGAAGCCATATGGTAAATGTTTTGTACTGAGAAATGCTGATAGCCTTAAACATGCTTGGAACACTATTCAAGTTGAGGGTTCTCAGTTCTTTCCAGCATCTCTCTCAACCTAAATATATTTTCATTAAAATTACTAAATATAAAAAAATACAGAGAGCAGCTACTTTCTTTCCTTTAATTTATATCTTCTTTTTCAACTAATCCTGTGAAAATAAGTCAGTAAAAGCATGAAATTTCTCCTACATTGATGTCACAAATATTCCTGCCGTCTTCCATTTTTTTAAAAAGAAAACCTCCACCATAAAATTTCTCAAAGCCCTTACTCAAGAATCCAGAGTCTATTTACTTTAGATTTCTAAAAATATTTTTAACTATAAAAGCTGCAGAGGATTAGAAATTTGAGATTTGCTATGCTTTTTGCCCCTCATCACTTCCTTCCCACCTGAGTAGAAAGTCCATTTTAAGTTTTGCTGTTAATTACCTTTTCTTCATTAAAGAGTCAAATTCACTTCCTGGTAACAGTTACAAAGAAATTCAATATTGCTTGGTGTATCTGTATTGCGTAAAAGTAGAAATCTGTTTGTTGATCACAGGCTCATACTATAAATATACTTTGTCACACTTCACAGAAATAAAACACAAACAAAGGCAGAAAAAAGGAGAAGAAATTGGATGTTTGGATAGTCAAAAGAGAAAGATTTCAGTTAAAAATCTACTGGTCATGAAACTAAAAGTTTGTGGAAAAATCTCACACTTAAATCTCAGTTTAAGCAGTTCATACTAAGCAGCCAAATTACATGGTTGGTATAAATCCACAGGATTCTAAGTCTGAAATTAACTGCAGTGAGTAAAACTTCCCTCTGTTTTCTTTCATATGCTAAACCATAATTTTAAGAAATACTTATTTAAAAATATGTCTAGAAGACAGTTTTGTCTTAAGGACTCCTTTTTAACTGCAAGGCTTTTGAGACACAGTAAGAAACAGCCCAATAATCCTACATTTTCTTACCCAATATATCCAGCTGCCGTAAATGCGTACAGTTAGCAGCAAGCTCCTCAATGTCTGTGTCACACACAGACCTGTTGGCCGTCAGAAAGAGCTTTTGCAAGTTCGGGAGTTTACGTGCAAGGTTTGTGAAACAGCCTGTACTGCTCTGTAACGTAGGGCACCAGCCAAGATCAAGTTCTTCCAAAAGCTGGCAGCCTGAAGCCAATTCTGCTATTCCACTTTCAGTTATGTTTTTACATCTCCACAAATCCAGACTGCGAAGCTTTTTGCATTTTGCTCCCATCATGCTTGCTATAAGATCATAGTCTTCAATCTGCAAGGAAAGCAAACACTTTGTCATGTATACCATCTTTCCAGACATACATAGGTGTTTCAAGACTTGCTTGCTAACACACCTACAGATCTGTCTTGAGCATTTGTCATTTCTAGAGAGCTCTGAAAATTATTCATTGTGGAGTACAGTGAGGTCTACTCTTACAAAAGGCAAAAACAAAATAAATTTCCTATCAACCCCCAGACACAGATTTTTTAAATTAACTTAATTCTAAAGATCAGTGAAAACACAGTGAAAAGATCATTTTCTCCAAAAACCCCTTCTTTTTATTGCACAGTTGTTTTTCCTTCAAAAGGTGATTAGAACTGATTTTATGACCATAAGCACATACAGACTGACAAATGTGCTTATTTCCATCTTAAGTTGATCAGCTGCTGCACCTCCTTACAGAAGTTTTATTAGTTACCTTGGGCAAGCCAAAGGGACTGAAACAGGGTCCCACTGTCCAGGCAGAAGGAATGAAATCCACTATCAGAAACCACAGGAAGATAAGGGCTGTTGGAAAAATGTAGTGACGCTGCCTTTCTCTTCTGTCCATGAGTCAAAGCAGAGAAGGCTGAGCCAATCCTGCTTTGTCACTTGTTTCTTGAACAACGAGGAAGGTCAGCAAAGTCTCCCTGATGATGGATCAGGCATGTCTGCCACCAGGGACAGCAGCAAGTCAGAATCCCACTACATAACAGCTCTGGCACGCACATGCAACACAGCTCAGAGAAGTGCCCTGCAGGAATTGCTGCTGTCCCTGTATCCTCTTTCTTTAAATTAATGAGTGTGCCCAGCAAGCCTATGACTCAAACGGCTTTTGCTGAAAATATTTCTCTCATGGTTAGAGTCAGACACAAGCATTAGTCTGCTAGGAGTGATGATTTAGTCTGAATAAAAATACATGAGTCTTGATTAGTTTTGTGAAGAAAAAGTGATCACGCATATAAAGAAAGCCGCAAAATTTAGGAAGAGGTCAAAGAACTATGAGAAAGCCTACTAGCTCTGTTTTAGGCCTGCTAAACTAGTATGCAACCCTTAAGCATATGACTAATCTGCATTGATCTTGGACCTTTGAAGAGAGTGTAGTATAATGCCAACTTAGCATCTAAGCAAGTTTGCTGACACCAAGCTGTGTTATGTGGTTCACATGCTGGAGGGACGGGATGCCATCCAGAGGGACCTTGACAAGCTTGAGAGGTTAGGCCTGTGCAAACCTCATGAAGTTCAACAAGGCCAAATGCAAGGTCCTGCACCTGGATCAGGGCAACTCCAAACATAAATACAGGCTGGGTGATGAGTGGCTTGAGACCAGCTCTGAAGAGAAGGACTTGGGAATGGTGGTGAAGAAGCTGAACATGGGCCAGCAATGTGTACTTGCAGCCCAGAAGG